ATTTACATATGTAAACATACGGTTTGTCAGTAATCAGTCGCTGTACTTAATGTCACATTTTGTATTTACATATGTAAACATACAGTTTGTCAGTAATCAGTCACTGTACTTAATGTCACATTTTGTATTTACATATGTAAACATACAGTTTGTCAGTAATTGGTCATTGTAGTTATAGATGTAAACACTCAGTTTGTGAGTAATCAGTCACTGTACTTAATGTCACATTTTGTATTTACATATGTAAACATACAGTTTGTCAGTAATCGGTCATTGTATTTACATATGTAAACATTCAGTTTGTCAGTAATTGTACTTAATGTGACTCCTATTGTATTTGCAGATGTAACTATAAAATTTGTCAGTTATCAGTCATTGTCTATTGTTAGTGTAGGTATGAACACTTCTTTATTAGTTTTCTGATATAATTAAAACCAGTTGTTTTAATAAGGTTTTGTTTAATACTTCAGAATGCTGTCCACACATACAATATGGAAACTTGTGTACAATAAATTAAACAATAAACCAGTATCTATATATACACACATACATGAAAACATGTTGTCAACATACTCAGTCATAAAGTTGCCAGTTCCATTCTTCCTGACTCAAGAATAGCTTTTATTTATAATAAACCATCTATTAATTACCCCTCTGGTGGGTGTTTGTTACAACACACGATTGTCTCATTTCAGTTGGCTAATGTCTTTGATCTACTTTGGCCATGGAATGAAATAAAAACTTGTAAAATGTATATATGAACAATACAGAACTGGCCATGTTTTAACTCTTGAGTTATAAAAGTGACCGAGAAGATGATGATGAGGAAGGTTATATACTCCAGATAATATTGATAACAGTTGGGTTTATTAAATGAACTGCAACTGTTGATTTATGATTTTTTTTAAATATCTCTCTTGGACATATATAAGTTGTGAGATAATAAACGTTTTTCCTCTTGACAAATATTAAAGGCTCAGTTTTTAAAACTTAATCACACAAAAAACATTTGACTAAAAACTACTCCAGATTTTATGTAAAAAAGTACCAACTGTATCTCCTCCCCCAATGGGTAAGGTAAGCTACAGTTGTAACTAAAAATCACAGGTTCTTTGAAAATATTCATATTAGTTGCTAGTCAACATACCCATTCAATGAACATAGGGGGTCGGATCGAAAAGCTACCCCCCCCCCCCCCATTTCACTCCTCTGGGGACTCTGAGGAGATGTGCCAATCAGTTATTAGTAGACACACACAGCCTTTTGTCTCATAATAATTTAAATAATATTTGTGCATGATTAAATCCTCGGAATAATACACGTTTGGCTTACTTAGGTTTTCTCGTACCTGGTCAATAACTTACATAGGTATAAACAGACTGTTAGTATATGATCAGGTTAAGTTTCTAGTGTTACCAATGTAAATCCTCAACTGGTCATTTACGTAACCCAAGTTTGTTTTAATTCTTAACATTTTAACCCTTTCCTTGTTTTAGGTGATTTAATTGTTTTTCTGGATAAGCTTGTTTGACTACTTACCCAAGTAGGTATCAGTGAAACAATTAATACCATAATTGGTTGTATTTATCCAAGTTTATATTTTCACAACATCATTCACGTGTGATTGTACTTTGAACCAAAACAACCAGCTCCTATTGCCACATTTACGAGCATCAGCCACATATCAAATAAATGTGGTCATGTATCACATGATACTCAAGAGCTTTATCATTATGTTCTATGAATCACACTTGATGCACAGGACAGGGTTAACCAATCTGTCTTAACCTGAGTGGTTTTTAATTATTAACCAACCTGTCTCAGCTTATAATAATGTACTAATGCTGAAAGTTTGAGCCTAGGACCGTGAGAACTCCTTTTTGACTAGGTATCCAAACATTTCTCTGAAAACATACTTTACATACACAAGAGATCATAATACATTCTCAGAAAAATCACCAAGAAATTAATATAAGTGTATTTTTTTTTTCTCAAATTGTTTTACAGATGTAAAAATATATACCTATTTAGTTCTAGTTGCAGTTAACAATATAGTCTGGTCATATCGGTATCAGAAGTCTGTAATATTACTATAGCTTATACAGTTCATAATGACATTTATAGTTGACGAACATCCGACAGGTTTACTTTACCTAACTATCAATGCATTTTATTCTTTTCCTAATACACATACTTGTATTAATTCTTTTAAATAATGCCCCCCCCCTCAGAGTTAATATTTATGCAAAATGTGTCATGTGACCTGAGATGCAAATTTTTACAACTGGGGTTCATGTACTTATTTGATATTATAGACTTTGTAATCCAATAAGTAATCAGGAAATGTTTGTTAACTACCTAAGACATATAACAACATAGCACGCTTAAAATGAGTGATTCAACGAGCTGCTTGGATAACGTGGCCACCAGAGGTGCTTCACATTTGTCAACAAATGCCCCTTATAGGTTAAATCAAGTCTGGTGAGTGTGCTGGCCAGGTCATTCTTCGATGTGATTTTCTTCCAGAAGTTGCTAACTATGTGAGGATAGCATACATCAGAAGAAAGTTCTGGAACACTAACAGTTGTAAGACAATCGCAATATCATATGGCAATCGTAGCACATAAAGGCTAGTGTGGCCATAAACACTAATTAATCTTGTCGAGACCCGTATAGCACCGCTACCATATTTGTTTGGGTCTGGTAAAAATACAGACATCTTGGCTGCTATGTGAAGATATATTCGTCTTCATTAATTTGACAAGAACATGAACCTTCATGCCATTCAATCAACACTACTGTTAGAGAAATGGGTCATCTGATATAAGGGCTAACATTATGAAGCTTACTCCTAATCATTTGTGTGCTAACTTTTATTTAGTTACCATACTGACCTGTTGATTCAGTTCGTAAGCTTTGGTCTGCTGGTTGCATTAAGTCCTCAATATCAAACAATGGTCAACCCTGTCCAGGTCTTCAGCCAGTTGTTTTGGTAGGCTGATAGTAAGACCACATACTGCTAACCATATTTTATCAGACTTGCAGTCACAACTTGTTTTGTTTGACTAACTTCTAGTCAACCTATTGCTCTTCACATCATGAAAGCGTACAAACTTCTGTGAAGTCCTGGCATGTTTCACTTTCAAGTTGGATCTCTTTACACACATTGTTATTGTTCAAACTGCTATTTGAGAAGACATGCTCTTTCCTTCACTTTTGTTTACCACTAGAATGCCCATATCAGATCACATGACTGGTCATCTGTTTTATTTTTGAGTATGGCAAACTACAACTATCCTGGAATTCTTTTGAGCATCGTATTTTTGACGTAAATTTGATTATGCATTATAAGTATCACTTGGGTGTGTCTTTACCCCCTCCCCCCACATAGTTATTATAATTAAATCACAGACTACTTGCTTCTGACATGAAATAATCCCCACCTCTGTATCAGCTGGATCCTTATGCTCCAAAGCTTGAATGTAGTACCCTGTAGGGATCAAGGACAAGAAAGTGCCCTTGTTTTGGCACTTGAATATACGAGACAATTTATTTACAATTTAATCTTCTGGAGTCTTTTTTTTTTTTCAGAGCCTTAACCAATTCTTGAATAGTTATCAAACTTTCTAGATCTCAGTTCATGTTTTGGTACTTTCTTTAGGTTCAATCTTTATATGCTGATAAGTTCCATAAATGCACAATAATTACTTTGGTTTACGAATGAACCTAAGTACCAAATAGCCCATCAGTCGAAACACAGCCAAAAAGAGCACCAGAATAACAGTATTGGCCCAGAGTGGGAGCAGGTATCTTTGCTGACCAATGATATCTTCTACTGGAATGGAAGGTGAACTACCAGAACGACACACTTCAAACTGAGAATTAGTTGTTGAACACCTAATGAATAATAAATAATTTTACAAAAATCGTCTTTTTGATAAAACAATTTCAACACAAAAACTAATTTTATGCCACATGAAACTTTTATTGTTGTTTTCTGTTTGAAACATAATGTACCTTATTTAAATCATCTTTCTATCATTTCAAATAGACAGTAATCTAGATACAATCTGTCGTTTTAACTATCATTGACTAACGACCATAATTCGGTCAATGACTATTATTTCATTATTCCAGGATGAAATTAGACAATCTTAGTTTTATTCACTGTAGTTCTGAATGATGTTCTAACAAATCCAAGCACAATATCTTAAGCCTAATGTTTTAATAAACACTTGGCCCATTATTCTTGCACATTAGGCAGCTTTATTTATAAAATCTCTTATTACAAAAGCTGTCATTTAACTTTAAAACAGCAGTTTTGTTACAGCTGTTGTTTTTTTCTTGCATTGGAGGAAGATTATGCAAAAGAGACATTCCTACAGGGATAATATATTAGTCCAAATGAATTCTTATTGACAAGGAAACCCAAGTAATCCAACTAGGAATTCCTAATCATTACAGGTTTGAGTTTTCGAGTGTATCAATTTCATCACATTAAATATTCTAATCATTCAATTAAACTTGATTTCTTAATCAAAGTTTATGTCTCTTTAAATTATTTTATTTCTAATCTATATAGTTAACTTATTTTTAATCAGAAGTTATTAATATTTATCTGCCAGTCTTGCTTTTAATCTATTGCTTTACCTATCTGCTTAATAATAATAATCCAAGAAAAGGAAATATTCGTAGAACCACTTAACTTGAACATTTATTTACTGTTACCAATGATGTAAAACAACATACAGTTGTTTGCTACATTTTCAATATTTTGATTTAGATATTTAATTGCTAGAGGGCACATGACAATATCTAGAAAATTCATGAAAGTTAAGAATCTAGAAGTTTTTTCAAATATGTAGAAACAAGGGTACAATATAAATACCAGACTCAGTAAGTTAATGAGTGATTTAGTTCAGTGTTAGTAGTTAGAATTATTGCATCTATATATGATTTATTAGTGAGGAATTTATGTTGAAATGTTCATAAGTTAGGTGTGCATTAATATTGCAGTTACTATTGAAATGTTGTTTGTGAACTTAGGCCTACAACTTGTGTCACAGTAAACATAACCTGTACTAATTGTCACTGAAGAAATGAGTTAATTCTTTTCATAACATAGACTGGACTTTGCATTATTTTTACCAAATAATCCCCCAATGATAGAACATTTTACAACAATACATACTCCTTGAGCAAAGATTTTTTTTCTAATCTTCCTAAATCTATTTTAGATGATAAATTAAATACTGGAAAAAACATAAACTACAATTTACCTTTAAAAATGCCCATACAGGAATATTCAGCTCATCTTTAGTCATGCCAATATTGTAATATTCAGCATATCTTTAGATATGCTCTTGATGGACATCATATCCAACCACAACTAATCTATTATTAATGGTAGCATCACCATTCTATCATGTGCATCTTTACGTTTTCATGTTCTATCTCAACTAATTTAACTAGTAAACCTTTTGAAGCATACAATTTACAAAAGCTTGACAGATATCTTGTAGACCCTACTTTTATATTTTGATCAAATTTTATTTATTAAACAGTTAATAATATTCATGCTTAAGATATACTAAAAAAAATATGTTTATTATTTTCATTTATTTATTTGTGTCAAAATAGATAGCTAACTGGATTAACAGAGAAAAGACTTAAGGTTAAAAAGAAATATAACCATGATTAACGAGTTCCAAATTCTTACCAAATGGGTGGACCTCCAGTAAATTCTACTAGCTGCATGTTCTGGAAAGCGTAATGCACAATTGAAAGAAATTTGAGCCACTGAAGCCACGATGGAATGGAAGAAGAGTAATAGCCACCAAACAACATGGTTGACAGAGAATAGAGTGCAGAAATTGTGTCACTAGTAAGGGTGCTGTTCTGTACTAGACAGTGTCACTAGTGAGGGTGCTGTTCTGTATTAGACAGTGTCACTAGTAAGGGTGCTGTTCTGTACTGGACAGTGTCAGTAGTAAGGGTGCTGTTCTGTACTAGACAGTGTCACTAGTGAGGGTGCTGTTCTGTACTAGACAGTATCACTAGTAAGGGTGATGTTCTGTACTAGACAGTATCACTAGTAAGGGTGCTGTTCTGTACTAGACAGTATCACTAGTAAGGGTGATGTTCTGTACTAGACAGTATCACTAGTAAGGGTGCTGTTCTGTACTAGACAGTGTCACTACTTTATCTGACACTGGCAAGAATGCCGTAAATTTGCCACTAATAATTTTCTTGAACAGTATTGAGGTATTTGAGTTGTTGATTATGTCAGAAATCACTACATGTAGAAAGTTGAAACACTGTAGAAAAAAATATTAATAATTGATAGTGAAAATGTTTCGGAGTTTTAGAAAAGTGAAGTTTTTATGTGAATTGTTTCTGTTAACAGAGTGTAGGGCTGTTTATTGGGGCTTCCTGTACAGATCTACAAGTGTCAGTAACTGTCTAGTACAGAACAGCACCCTTACTAGTGACACTGTCTAGTACAGAACAGCACCCTCACTAGTGACACTGTCTAGTACAGAACAGCACCCTCACTAGTGACACTGTCT